AGAGCAGGAACTTTAAGGGGTGGGGCTTAGCTAGAGGAAGTAGATCTGTGAAGGATAGCCATTAATGTTTATAGCCTAGCCCAGCTTCCTGCCAGCGCCCAGCTTCCTGCCAGCGCCCAGCTTCCTGCCAGCGCCCAGCTTCCTGCCACGCCCAGCTTCCTGCCAGCTTCCTGCCAGTGCCCGCTTCCTGCCAGCGCCCACTTCCTGCTCTGATGAGATCAGAAGAAGCCCCACACTCCTGGCCTCATGGAGCTGCCCACCACATGCCTTACCCACCATGTAAACCCCTCACACCATGAGCCAAGGAACCTCTCCTGAAATGTCTGCTTGTTGAGTATTTAGTCACAGCAGTGAGAAAAGGCCACTAAACATGGTGAGTCAGCCACTTGGGACTAGTTAACCATTTTTAAACAGAGGCTGTTATAAGATATAACACTGAACATGCAGAACTCACTCACCAACCTCGTTCTTTTTAACTAATGCACTCATGGGAATGTCCAGCCTAGACCTGAGCAAGACCCTGAACTGTCCCATGGAAGTCAAATGCTGCTTTTTCCGGGTGCTGTAGAGAATGAAGCCAGGAAACAACCCCCCCACCCAAACACAAGAGCTGGGGAACATGGACCTCCAAACCAAAGGAAGGCTGGAGCCCACCCCTTTGACAGTGTCTACACCGTTGATGTTACAGTATTCAGACAGATTTCATTCCTTCCCTAAATACACACACACACACACACACACACACACACACACACACACACACACGAGGCAGAGAGAGGGGGGGGAGAGGGAGGGGAAGAGGAAGAGAAAGAGAGAAGATGGGGAGATCAGGTGTTTGTGGGCCAAGTAGCAGGTGGCAGCTACTCGTGTGTGTGTGTGTGTGTGTGTGCGTGCACGTGCTTATGGTGTGTGTGTATGTGTGTGTGTGTGCGCGCGCGCGCGAGTGCTCATGGTTTATGTTTGTATGTGTGTGAGTGTGTGTGTGAGAGTGTGTGAGAGTGAGTGTGAGTGAGTGTGAGTGAGTGTGAGTGAGTGTGAGTGAGTGTGTGTGAGTGTGAGTGTGTGTGCATGCTCATGGTTTATGTGTGTGGGGGGGGGTGGTTTCTGTGTGCATGTAAGTGTATGTGTGTGGTTTGTATGTGTGTGTGTGGTATGTGGTTTGTGTGTGTATGTAAGTGTATGTGTGTGTGGTTTGTGGTTTGAGTGTAGCTGTGTGGTTTGTGTAGTTTGTGTGGCTGTGTGGCTGTGTGCCTGGGTGTTCTGGCCAGAGGTCAACATTGAGTGAGTATACTTTCTAGGGTTGGCCTGGCCAGCCAGCAAGTCCCAAGGGTCCTCTTGCTTCCTCATCATCATCCTTGGGATTACAAGCAAGCAGCACTGTGTCCAGCTTTTTACATGGGTCCTGGGAGTCACACTCAGGTCCTCACGCATGGCCAACCCTTTACTACTGAGCCAGCTCTCCAGACCTAGGAGTCTTCTCTTGACTGTGGAGGCAACAAGGACAGAAATGGCAGCTGCAGTGAGAAGGAGGCCAGTAGACCCAGTGCTGCTGTGCAAAGTGGGTGCCTGTAGCAGAGTTCTGGACCTGCAAGGCTGGATGTGGCCCAGGGGGACCCGGACACTGTTACATGAACAAGAAAGGAATCTTTGGCACCATGGCCTGTGACAGCTCCATGTACTTCCCAGTGACCTTTCTCCCTGACCTCAGTTCAGGGAAGATCTGATTTCTAAGAGAAAGCATCTGACCCTGACCCTAGAAAGAACCCAAGTGTTGTGTTTGGGGCCTCGACCAAGGTCATGAAGACGCTGAAGGAGCTAGTGCTGAGCTGTTCAAACCTGAGAGTCTGGATTTCTCCATTGTCAGGTGACATCTGTCTGTTATGAAATCCGTTCCACACAGAAGGACAGGGCCCAGATGCAGCTGCTCCCTCGGGCACAGAGCAGGATGTGGTACGTAAAGAAAGGTGACAGCTTTGGATCAGCATTTGGTTTCCCTAGCTCTTAGGGAAAGATGAGGACCACAGTAGCCTCAGGCTTCAGTCACTAAATAACAGAGCCTCAAACAGGGACCAGAAGGTAGAACACAGGCTTCAAACCCCTCAACCTCCACAGGAGGGGGCAAAGACCAGGACCCAGTGGGGCTGTGACTTGATGGCTTAGAAGAAACAGTTTGGGTGCTGTGAGTGACTATTCTCTGAGGCAAGCAAAGCAGTTGCCATGTTGGTAAGGTCAGCTGTGCCCACTTGGGAAAGGCTCCTCCATCCCAGCTGGGGGTTCTGACTGTCTATATGATCTCATGGAGTGGCAGGAAGGGTCACAAGAACTTCACCTGAATACCCAGCCATTACCTACCACTTACCACAGGCTGCACTTTCCATGCAAGCAAGAAAACCAGGGCCAGCTTTCTCAGAACCCACATACATGCTAGTGGGTGTGGTGGCTCCCTGTGATTCCAGGCTCATGAGGCAAGCCTGATAGTGAGACCAATCATACTGGCCTGCTTTGGGTTTGACTGAGAGTCTCTGCCTCAAAGAGTAAAGTGGGAGAAGGACCAGAGAAGATTTCCAGTATCCAACTGAGGCCTCCACACTTATATACACCATGTATAGAGCGTACACACACACACACACACACACACACACACACACACACACACACCACACACACCACACACACACACACACCACACACACCACACACACACACA